ACGTATAAAGTAGAGGAAGATGGGCATGGATGTTAGCTCAGGGCCAGTCTTCCTCAGCAAAAAGCTGAGGATGGGTGGCAGATGTTAGCTGGGGGCTAATCTTCCTCCAAAAAATACATAAATAAAAAAAAAAGAAGACACAAATTTAGACACAGAGACACACAAAGAGGGAAGACAATGTGAAGAGACATAAAGAGAAGATGGACATCTGCATGCCAAGGAGAGAGCCCCGGAACAGATCCTTCCCACACAGCCCTCAGGAGGAACCAACCCAGCAGATATCTTGATCTTGGACTTCGGGCCTCCAGAACTGCGAGACAGTACATTCCTGTTGCTTGAGCCACCCAGTCTGTGCTTTGTTACAGCAGCCTGAGCAGACCAACACACAGGAAACAGAGTTCAGCTCCCAGAAGAGGAGGGGACACTGGCAAGGACCAGGCACTATGTTAGAATAACAGACAAGCCGGGGGGTGAGACTTCAGCCCCAGGGGAGGAATGAAAATGAAAAAGGGGAACTGAGACAATGCCTTGTGAATTTTGGGCAAAGTCAGTGAAGTTACAGCTGTACTCAGGGGTTTTCCCAGGATTCATCTCCCAAACATAAAAGATCTTACACCAAACGCAGGGCAGCGAGAGCCTAGGAAGGCTGGTTGCTTCCATGGGGAGGGGCCCAGTGGCTGGCTCAGCGTGGCACGTGTGTGGAAGTCCCCACTATCTATGGCTGAGGGAGTGTAGGCAAGGCCGTTGTGTGAAAGAAGCTTTAGAATTTATCACACAGGAGGATAAATTTTGGCTCACAATTAGAACTTTCACCGTTTCTTTATAAAAACATTTGAAATCTAAAATATTATAGGAAAAAGGAAAAGAAAAAAAATCTCCCTACAATCCCACCATCTTAACTACATTCACCGTGCATTTGCTTTGTCTTTCTTCATGTATGTATATGTTAAGTAGTGGGATTTAGAAAGTGTGCATATAATTTGCATCCTTATTTTTAAAGGAATAAAATTATAGTACAAGCATGTCCCCATTGTGCTACACGATTTCTCACAAGGATAACATTCAAGGGTTGCGGAAATCCATGGAGTGCATGAAGCATGATGATTGATTGATTCCCCTGTTGTTGGATGTTAAGGTTGTGGCTGGTTTCTTTCTTATCAATATTCTCTTTAAGGTTCTTTCCAGCACTGAGATTCTATGATTCTGTTTGGCAAAGGGAAACGAAAACCACTTCTCAAATTATCTTCTCCATCTCTAATTCCTCTTAAGAGGGGCACCTTTTAAGTCAGATTTCTGTTTATTTCCTCTGAGTATCACTTTCACAAAAATGACTTTAAGATATTTCTACCTAGTTACCTATCTTGGACAGTTCTTTTTTCAGATGTACCAAAAAAAAGAAAAAATGCAAAATTAGTACCAAAAAATTCCCATATACCTTTCACCCAGATTCCCCCAAATTTAACATTTTACCTAACTACATCACAATGATCAAAATCGGAAAATTACCTTTGATACAATACTCTTATCAAATCTACAGACCTGATTGGGGTTTCACCAATTGTTCCACTGTGTCCTTTTCCTGGTCCCAGATCCACAGAGGGATCACAGGTTGCATTAGCTGTCTATGTCTCCTCAGTTTCCTCTAATCTAGAACACTTTCTCCATCTTTCTTTGTCTTTCACAATCTTGATATTTTTGAAAACTACTGGCCAATTATTTTATAGAATGACCGCCAATTTGGGTTGTCTTTTATTTCCTCATGAATTTTTCGTAACCCCATCGTGATGTTGGGTCCTTCTCAGAGCGTCTATATGGGGAGGCACATGATGTCAATCTGTCCCATTGCAAGGAATGTCAACTTTAATCACCTGGTCAAGGAGGCATCTGTCAGGTTTCTCCACTGTAAAGTCATTATTTTTTCCTTAGTAAGTATTGTAGAAACCTACTTTGAGACTACATAAAATCTCATTTCTCATCATACTTTCAGTGACTAATTTTAGCGTTTGTTGATGATTCTTCCCTGAACCAATTATTACTGTGGTATTTTCCAGATGGTAATTTTCTATTTTCATTATCCTTTCTATGGTTATTAGTTATAATTTACCTTGGACAGGCTTTACAGATTTCCTTAACCTTACAGCCCTAGATCATACTTCCATTAAAGCAAAAGAAGAGAATATTTATCCACCACTCATTCTGTGTTGTTCCTGTTATCAGAACACATGGAGACCGACACAGGTGGAGCTGCCTAGACAGAGGAAGGGAGACGGCTGAGCATCTTCGCTTATCTGTATTGACTCCTAATTTTCTGAGTCTTCCTCATTAATTATGCCTCATTCTGCCAAGGAATCAGAGGCACCTTTTAATATATTATTTATCCTTAAGTCATGTCTGTAAAGTAATAAAGAAGCAGCAACTGCCACTTCCATTCTACAGATGAGAAAAATGAAATTGAGCGATATAGATACACTGTGCCAGATCAGATAGTGGCACAAATGGGACTCGTTTCCAGTGCCTGAAGCTTCTCACTTACTATCTGGGACTGCTCTAAAAATTATACGACTTCTATTCGTGTATGGATAACATGATATGTCTTCAAGAAAAGACGTTGCTTTTGAACGAAATGTTATCAATAGGACAATCTTTCTTTTGGCTAATTATTATGTACATTTTCATCCATTATAATCCAATGTATTACTTGCAGACAACAACAATAATAGTTATTTAAATAGAAACTTCTTGCGACATAAATTAAAAAAATTATTTTTATCTCAAGGTGAATTCCTGATGACGAGTTTAAATTCTAAACGCAGACTCTTCCATTTATCCAGAATAGTTAAGAGGTGCTGCTTGACTGACATTACTATATGTATCTGGATCACCGCCCTTCAAAGAATCCAAATGCAAAGACAAAGAAACAGTATTTGCTTCTTTAAAATTGGACAGTACCTCACATTAGAATGAATATTAACTCTCATTGCGTAATCCTATTAAAAAGGAGGTAGAAGATGAGCTGATTTTTTAAAAAATTCATCTTCTATCTTATTTTGTCATTTGTCTGTTTCTCCTAAAAATAGCACGTGAAAGAAAGAAATTTTCGATTAAGTGGACTTTCTGGTGATTGGTATCTTGGATTTTAAAAAGTTACTAATATGTCTGTTGTTAAACTGGCCTCTTTTCCTTAGGGCACCAGTAATTTGAGTCAAACAATGGGGACAGCAAGTAGCCCCATTTGTTCACACAATTAAGACTCACTGTGAACTCCGAGGGCCTCGGCCCAGGCGACCCTCCGGGCTGGTGTTGCTTTGTTTTATTTTTAAGTCATTTGTGTCTCCACTGTTGGTCCCTGTGCCTGGCACAAAGTAAGCAGTGGATAAATATTTGCTGACGGATCCCCTGGCCCACTGACAGCCAGACTTCACACCCAGGGCGAGGGTCCAGCCTGCGCCTTCCTGAATTCCTGGAATTTTTTTTTATTTCAAAAAACAGTAGACGCTCACTATAGAAAATTGTAAAATAGAGAAATGCACACACACACAAAAGAGAAAATAAAATTCTCCCTATCTTACAAGCCCTAGACAAAATTATGCCATAAACATGAGCATTTTCTCATTTATTAAGTATTCTTCAAAAACATGTTTCTAATGGCAATAGAATGACCCATTGTGTGGATGTGCTGTATTTAACCATTTCCTTATTGTGGGGCATATAAATTCTTTACAACATGCCACCTTTGGAGATAATGTGGGAATGTTACACAGTAAACTCTGACTATTAAAGCCGATTAACAAGTTACTTTCCAAAACGATTATATCCATTTAAGTCCACTTGCTAGTGCCCCATATATTTTAAGTGCTGGCAGTTGAGAAATGAGGGTTTTGAAACAACTCGTCTCCCCTGAAACAGCCTCCAGTGTGATGGGAGTGAACTAACCTTTTCCTCCATACTTAACACTGGGCCCCGAGAAGGGTCGGGTAAACCACAGGGGAATGGAAAATTCCGAAAACATGCCTGGAAACGTCAACCCAAATTGGGGAGAGAGCATTCGTCCTTCAAAAAAAGCTTGTAAGACAAAGAGAAGGAGCAATGATACCCTAAACTGAGCGATAAGCAACACAAAACAACTAATATAATTAGGCTGATTGCTGTCACTTTATTCATGGCCCAACATTAAAACCTATTTTGTCTTTATAAAAGATAAAATCATGCTAGTTAAGAGGAGAAAATATTTGGGAGAGGAATCAGCCAAAAGGATAGAGTACTTTAAAAAAAAATTAACATTCACTTCTACTCAGGAATATATTTGCTTCACTCTGAAACAAAAACTTCATTTTTACAAATAATACATAAGGAAAATCAAGCTTAAAAAAGTTATTTGCCATTATCACAAAGAAAATCCCATTCTAGTGCTTGTCTTTTCCTGCCACTGTGTATCCCCCTCAGCGAGTGTGGGCCGGGTGTCAGACTGGAAGCCTGCTCGGCACCCACAGCAGACATCCTTCAAATCCTGCAGACAACACGTGCAGCGATTTATTACGTCAGCATTTCACATGACCGTGAGCCACTACGAACACCTAAAGTGTTATTATTATCGCAATAGTATACCTTAACTATTTAAAATTTAACCCTTAATAGGACTGTTATTTCCAGGCTTCCAGTCAAGCAAAGTCTGCATTACTTGGAACTCTGTGGAAAGCTCTAGAGATAGAGGCCTGGGCTATGAGCCAGTCTTTTAGCGGGAAACCACCATTTTAGAAAACGGGATTTTCGGAGTACCGTGGGAGTGAGATTGAAATCAATCTTTATGTGGGACAATTTTGCTGAGAAGCCTGAGTAACTGACCCTTTCTTTATTTTATTTTTGTGTTTTCATTGATTGTCATGAAGCCAATTCCAGCTTATTTTCCAATCACGAGTCTATTTATTACATTTTCCAGCTTGATGGCTCATGAATGAACACTGGAATCACTATTAGTCAAAAAGAGGATACTCTGAAGAGAGTTGGGTAAATGTACTTTTATTAATGTGAGGGTAATTGTGAAAGCAGTGTTAATGCCACTTTCTTTGTACATTTGTTTAGATAGCCTCACGGTTAACCTTGCAGTTCTCAATGCGAGTGACTAAAGGCAGATCATCAAAAGTGGATTCAAAGCCACCATAGTTTCATCCCAAAGCATGCTGGGAAATCAGTGGGTACCAAAGCGATTTTGTCAGGGGACAAAGAATGAGTCATATTTCTAGGGCCTTTAAGTTTCCCTTCGACAAGGAAGTGGGATGGAAAGGAAACGGAAGACATGTAGGCACTTCTAAATGATGCAAGAAAAGGTATATTTTTCTTTTGATATTTTCCTTTCTAGTAGTGGTCGCAGATCCAAAAGTTCTAAGCTGGAGTGAAGGTCTCAGTAGTTAGGACTTGAGACACAGAGTGGGAATACATGGTCTGGGGCTTCTAGAGGATGGAGGTAGCGTGTGCTCTAAGATGGAGTGAACAGAAGTAGAACATTTCCACTTCCTCCTTCTGATCTACACTTGTGTGCCTGCCCCTGCTAATCCAGCTTCCTTAGCTCCACCATGCCACATAATACCTTCCCTCAGGGGCTGGGGCTGGGGTCAACGGGGAAAGATGGTTTAGTGGATATTGTTGGTTTCTATCCATTTTCTCCCCTTCACACATCTCAGTGGACCCACATTTTCCTTTTAGTTTACATCATCACCCTTACTTTGAGGGGAGATGATCTCACCCCTAATGCTTGGTTGGCTTAACTGACTCAGCCCATTCCACTCTCAAGCTAAGGTTATTGGTTCAGGGGTGGGCATATGACTTATGGGATCCAATCAAGGTGATTCTCAGGATTCCTGATTGGAATCCTGTGGCCACGGTTTTCTCTCTCTTCTTCTGGATGCCATTACAGGATGTACAAGAACCACCACAGTCCTTTTGCCACCTGAGAGAAGTGACCTAAAGATGAAATCAACAAATGGGTAAAGCACGTAGAAGGGAGTGGCAGAGAAACGGAGCCGGAGTTCCTGGGTTAACCCAACTCTGCAGCTCGCCCCACTCTAACTTCCATTTACACAAACACATGAACGTCCTCATTGTTCAATCTACTTAGAGAAGAGTTTTGGTGTCTTGGAACCAAAAATATTCTAACCTTTACAGAGAGTTGGAGGTGTTTTGTGTCTAGGCATCAGATGGCCCATTTCTAGGGGCTGTGTCTTCCTTCTGACGTGATGTTATGTCAACTGCTCCTATTAACCAGGAATGTAGATTAATGGTGTACACTTGCAGTGAAGACAGAAAACAATAGTGTCCAAGCATACAGTACTGTGTAATAAGGTGGCGGGGGGGCGAGGTTTTTTGGGCTCTAACCATCATTTACCACATTATTTCTATGAGAAAATGCTCCAAGTTCCAAATAAGCAACTTACAAATCAACTTTTGGGGACCCTCTGGGTCTCAGGTTTCTCATGAGGGTGTAATATTAGATGAAGTTTAAGGCAGCTTCTGGCTTTAACATTCTGTGATTCTTTGTTACTGGCTCATTTTAAGTAAGTACAATGCACTAGGGCAGCATTCTCGAATAACACAGCATTTAAAGATTGTTCATTTCCCATTCAGCAAGCTGTATCTTGTTTGTTTTCACAGCAGTTGAGAATTTGCCATCATGATTTTAACCATTTTTGAAATTCTAGCATAGTGCTCACATCGCGCCCCTAAATATTTATACACAGAATACCTTATCTCCTACAGCTAACTCATTTTCTGATTTGTCAGTTTTATGGAAACCTGAGAGATCCAAACAGGCTCACATTTCTAAGCAAAAGCAAATAGTAATTTTCTCCTTCTCCACCCATGGGTTAGTCAAAGTAGGGACTTTTTCTAAGAGTAGAGATATTTGCCATCTTTAGATGGTTTCAACATGAAAATGCAATGGTTCATAATACTTTTCATTCAACTTTTAAGTTGCAGATTGAAAAACAAGTGATCAAGCAAGTGCAGAGAGTGCCTTGAAATGAAAAGTTCCATGCTTGGCACCAAGATTAGGTGAACCCCCCTTACCTATAGGTGTGGTAGGTGGTGGCCTACCTGGCAGGAATGAAATATTACTAAGACCCTCCCCTCCACCCCCCAAATCTCTCCCACAGGTCTGCCAAGGAGTCCGAAATTCCACCTCTCACTCCTTTAAGAAACCGTACTACACAAAGCCTCCACTGAAACACAGTATGTCACCCTGACGAGCTGGTTATTAGCCCATTAACTCCCGGAACACACTGGCTCAGAGCAGCCTGGTGGCCACCTGTCTGCGGATCAGTTGCCCGGAGAGGGAAGAAGGGAAGGATTGTGTGTGGAACAGACTGATCAGAGTCCCTGTTGGTTACACAGCACCGGCTATAGGAGCAAGGGACCAAAGGCCTTTTCACCTATTTCATAGCATTGCCTTGGGCTTTCCCTCCATATCTTGATTCAAAAGAAGTCAATAGATCTCATTCTCCTCCATGAGTCTCACAGTGGTGCAGATTGGAATAAATCTTCCTCCCACATCATTCCTATTCACCGCCCTGTTGTTCCTCATTATATGGTCACCTACAAAGAAGTTGAACCCCTCTGCTATGGCCTGGAAGTTGTTCTGTAGGCAAGAGAACGGCTGTTCAGATGCGGCTTCTCTCCCTGAATGACTGACTTAGGGTTATGTCCAGAAATAATGCGCTTCAGTGAGCCCCGGGTTTGGTACGTGGAGGGAGGAAGTGAGAGACAATTCTTTTGCTTCTTTCTTCAGCCCACAGTCTGTATCAGTGTGAGAGATGAAGCAGATAAGAGAAAGTATGACACTGACCTTTGTTCTTAACGTTACAGAATAGAAGGACAGTTGAACCGACGTGCAGCTGGGTCTGTGCTGTGAATCTCTTTGGGGTGCATCTATTTAGGTAGGATATTTACAGTGACAATTCCGTAGGGTAGAAACTTTATCCACGGTATTCTTGTGAGATCTCCACCTTTGTAGTGTTGTGTGCAAGTGTTTGAACTGAATTTCCTTAGCATGTCTTACCCTGTTTCCTATGTATTTGGGGGCTTCCAGGGAGGGAGGACCCTCGGTGTGGACAGTGGCTGGTTTTCTTCAAATAGGGCATCAATTCTCACACATCCCTCGCAATGAAAAGAAATCTGGATTACCTGGAACAACACAATGGAAAACATGAACGATAGTATTCTTAAACTGAGTTCAGTAAAAACGAAAGGAACTTGACATTGTATGTGAATGAGCCCTTCAGAGGTGACCCTTGTTTTCTTGTCCTCTTTTCCCTTTTTTGGTGTGACCTTATCCTTTTTTCGGTAGGTGCCAGTCATAAATCTGTTCCTCTCTTAAACATAAGGGCAAAGGACAATTGCTCTCCATACTAAAATCTGTTCCTTGCGGCTGGCCCCATGGCCGAGTGGTTAAGGTCGTGTGCTCTGCTTTGCGGCCCAGGGTTTCCCCGGTTCGGATCCTGGGCATGGACCTAGCACCCATCATCAAGCCATGCTGAGGCGGCGTCCCACATGTCACAACTAGAAGGACCCACAACTAAAATATACAACTATGTACTGGGGGCTTTGGGGAGAAGAAGGAAAAATAAAATCTGTTCCTTGATATCAAAATGCTGGAAACAGAAGAGGAGTGTACCTCCAACACGGAAAATGGAAGTCACCCCTCTGCTTTGTGTTCATGGTGCTGGAGATACCATTGATGGTTAATTAATTCTTGCTGATTTGTACTATTAGCTGTTAATTCTTCTTTTAAAGTGCTCTTTCTAATGGACTTAATAAATTATTGGGTAATACAGAATTCTGAATACAGACAATATAGTAATCTTAAGTGGCTGAATTAGGAGGAAAAATGTGAAGAGTATTCTGAGGTTGGAGGTGGCAGAATGTAGTGAAATACAAAGTCCATAAAAACTGAGACAACGTGTGGGAAGCAAAGGCACAATGCCCGGCTGCAACAGTAGTCACAACAGCTCCTCTGGGAGCCAGTTGTACAGCGCCTGGGATCAGCCAACTGCTACAGGCTGTGGTCAGCATTTGTTTGTACTAGGGTTATTGGACCAAAAATAACTTATAAAGACATCATTTGATAATCAGTTCTATTCAATGTAGAATTCCCCCAAAAGTTGACGTTCAAACCTTCTTGTTGAGGATTCTATTTAGGAGGATATAGAAGAAAAAGACCTGAATTTTCAAAAGTCATCTATAGAGAACATTGTCTTTGGCGTAGAATGGTATGATATTGATGATGTTGGAATTCATGCTTCGGGCTTGGAATATTGTATCTTAAAGCATTCAATCTTATCACACTCCACAGTTTATTCAACAACATGAGTGCCATGTGCTAGACACTGGCTGTGTCAATGGGGATACAAAGATGAATGAGACATGATCCGTGCCCCTCAAGGCTCACAGACTAAGGAGCACAGGGATGCAGGAAAGACGAGGCCCCTGTGATCCACCCCCTGTCACAATGACCACAGTGCTGCCTGAGCATAGAGGGGGCAGCCATGATGGGAGTGTGGTGGGGTGGGTGGAGAAAGAAGAGGCCCACTGTGTGATGGAGAAACATTCACAGATCAAATTATTGGCACATTTGTCATTGTGAAGAGAGCACACAAGAAGGTGCCAAATACAGAAAGGGTGAGTTTATGATCTTAAATAATCCCCAATAAGATATGTCTGGCATTCTCAAAGGCTTTTTCCATATCTGTTCTTTATGCCTTTGATCATCTTCCTACCCAACTTTTCTGAGCCCCTGTTACCTCCTCCCTTCCTCTTCATCTCCCTTCCCCTTAAGAGGTGGCCTGAAATAGAAGTTTGTGTTTTTACTTATTTATCAAACAGTGCCAAGAGCCTGCATGTTGAACCAGGCACTCTTCTAAGCATTTTATAAATATGAACTCATTTAGTCTTCATAACAATTCTTTGAGGTGGCTACTGTTATTACCACCCATTTTTACAGATGGGGAAAATGAGAAGTAGAGATACTAATTTTATTTTTGAAGATTGGCCCTGAGCTAACATCTGTTGCCAATCTTCCTCTTTTTTTTTTCTCCCCAAAGTCCCAGCACATAGTTGTATGTCCTAGTTGTGAGCCACTGTAGTTCCTCTATGTGGGACGCTGCCATGGCACGGCCTCATGAGCCGTGTGTAGGTCCACACCCGGGATCCGAACCAGCGAACACTGGGCCGCCAAGTGGAGCATGCAAACTGAACCACTCGGCCAAGGGGCCGGCCCCAGAAGTAGAGATATTAAGGAACTTGCATAAGGGCACACAGCCAGAGAGTGAGCGAGCTGCAGAGTTGGGATTTGAATCAAGACTTCTATCCTCTCAACCTCCAAAGCCAGGGCTTAACTAACCTAGCCACAGTGCTGAGACGCAGACAGATTCCACCGCTGGCCCATGAGCTCATCCAGTGGGCAGGCTCCTTGCTATTCACCAAGCCTGTTTCACTTCTGCCCAGAGCATGCTGAGCTCTCTAAGAAAGATGCCTTTGAAATGCAAAGGTTGACAGCTTTATTTGTGGATCCACACTGTGGTTTTTGGCTAGAGTCTGCTGGGCAATGGCTATGTGGTAGTCAGTCTTTAAAAATGGTGAAATATCCACACTGTTTTGGTTGGATAATTGCATGCCTTTAATTTGTGGTATTATAAACAGCAGTAATCTGGCTCAGGAGTAGCCAGAAAAAGTTATTTGATATCCATTAAGTCAAGTTTCTATTTTTACTCACCTCTGTAGAGGTGTATTATTATGGTCAGGAAAAAGCAACATCGTAATATATTCTACTGGGTGTCTCCTGACAGGATAGGTTAAAGAAAAATGCCTTTCAAAGAAGGTAGGCAATAACTTTGCTTCGTTCCCTGGTGGTGAATACAATTTTTCCCTTAGATATTATGACAATTTAGCCTTCTTTAGAATATGAATTTTAAATGGAAAAAAAAATCACACCGTTTTTAGTTCATGGACTTGGAACAATGATTTAAAGAAAAAAAAAAAAGACCTACTTAAACCGCTGCTACCTAAAATGTTTACCTTACTCAGGAAATTCTGACAGTGCCAGATAAATGAAAACATTAAATCATGTAAAATAATTACCTATTTAGTAACTATGAAGTCCCCGTATAGCAACCATATTGGAAATAAGGGCATTCGTCATCAGTAATTGCTTTTTGTCAGTGTTCTGTGATTTAGTTGGCTTATTATATATTTACAGGCAAGGAATAGTTTATTCAGACAGCATCTTCCTTCAGAAGACATTTCAGTGGCTTGAAACTTGAGCCTAAGTTAACCGTTTAGTCTCTAGAGATGAATCATTCCTGTCGTTTAGCATATTGGTATAGTATTTAGATTAACTCGCAGGTACGTACTTAACTCGACAGAATCCAATGAGCCAGCTCACACACACGCTAGAGGTCTTCCTGGAGCCCTGACAGAGCTCCATGAGGGGAGGAGGACACAAGTCATTAGTTGGTGATTAATGCATGTAGAAAGTAATATTTCTACCATTTTACGGATGGAGCAACTGAGGCACTGAGAGGTTATGTGGCTTGTCCTGGACCACAAGGCTATTTAACAGATCCAGGAAAATCAGGCACTCACGCAAGCTGACCATGATTTTGCATCCAGTTCTCACCAATTCTAAATTTTGCAAATTACAGTTCCTGTACCTGCCTGCAGGGAGGTTACAACTGGATGGTAGAACTAAAATGAGAGGATGTTTTCTAGGAGGAAGCTCCTAAGGTTCGCTTTGGCTAACACAGCTGACATGGGGACTAACATTCCCCATGGACTCAACCCTCTTGGCGCCCCCCCCCCCTCCCCCGGGCTCTCTGCTGATTCCCCAGGGCTTCTGTCCATGCAGATTCAATCAGCCTCGGGACTGCGTGCCAGGCTGGGGGGCAGGTGGACTGTAAATTTGGGAAAGCGGCAAGTATTCAGGGTCTTGAACTTTATCAGGTCTGAATGTGTGATTGTGAAAGTAAAGAGCAGAGAAATGACAGCACTCAGTAAATCAAATGTGGAGAAGATCAAGATTGTCCGAGATGAGAGAGAAACAGGCTCTGGGCACAAACCCGGCTGCAAACCTGCATCGAGAAGCTTTCAAGGTCCCTCCAGACTCTGCCTTTGAAAAACAAATCTCTTTCCCTGTCATTTTATCCAGAGAACAGTACTCTTTGTTATGTCCCACTGACTTCTTTTTTGAAGTTTTTATGATTGAAGTTTAGATCTTGTTTTAGAAGATGGGGTGCTATAAGAAAAAAAAAAAGGAAATCAGTTGAAAAATGTCTGAACTGGCCTAGATTTTCCTCTATCAATAGTGTGTTCCATTCTCAATAAAACCGGGAACGAAACAGTGTGTTCCATAGCTTCTCGGAGATCTTTACTTTTTTATTCCCTAACAAAATGTGATTAAAGTGAAATAAGTCTTCTGTATATAGAGTGGAACCAAACTGAACGATAAAAAGCACCAGAAAAGTACTTAGATGACCAGATCAATTTAACTAGTTCTTTTTTCCCCTTTATGTCAAATGCCAGTCCTCAAGGTTGCCCTCCTTCGTGGCCCCATCTGTTAATTCGCTCCTATCTACCGCCAGAAGGAAGCTCCCAGAGAGGGGTGCTGCTGAGGGCTGGGACTCTCCTGGAGCAGAGGATAAGCTCCAGATTACTATCTTGGTTCTGTAGAAGATGTTGGTCTGCTGTCCGCATTTGCAAGGGGAACAACAAGGAATGTTTCCTCTTCAAAGGAACCAAAAGCAAGTAAAGGACCTTTCTGTCTCGACTCCTTCCTCCCCCCCTTTCCTACCATAATGCAATAAATAAAGTCCTTAGGGCTGGTACGTAGAAAAAGCATGGGGCCTCTGGTGAATGCAGTCTTATTAAAGTTGAATGGGTGCTCAAAGAAGTTCTTCCCTGGGAATTAATTTAGCTCCAGGGGACAGTTGAGTCACACAAGAAATTACAATTTGGTGTGGTATATGTGAATCTACTACAATATAGATATTGATAATAACAGTTCACACTTAAATAGTGCTTACTACGTGCCAGGTACTATTAGTACTTTACTTACAAAGTGCTTTACTTACTTTTTAATCTTCTCAATAACCCTATAAGGAAGGTACTTTTTTTCATCCCCATTTTACAGAGGAGGAAACAGGCACAGAGAGGTTAGGCAACTTGTCCTGGTCACACAGCTCGTAAGTGGTGGGGTCAGGATTTAAACCCAGGCAGGCTGGCCCAGAGTCTGGGCTCCTGGAAATCCCCGCAGTGTGTGAGCTAGAGCGACTCCCTTCTTTTCAAACTTACTGTGAAGCCTAGGGGCAATCTGAGCCTGGGTGCTTTACTAAGAGAAGGAAAAAGGCTCAGGCACCTCTCTCCATCTTGGAGGTTGTCTGTGATACTTTGCCTAACCGGCTTTACAGAAGTGCCAGCCTTCTAGACTGTAAACACTTCAAAACTAGGGGCTAACTCTCCAGTTCTTCTTTGTGCCGTGCATGCGCAGTGCTGTTGGGCAAGTGCAGGAGCCTGGAGGGCTGCACATGGGTAGACAACCCTTTGGTCCTAATTCTCTGCATATTTGCAACATAGCTGAATGGAGAAGTCATATTTCTGGGTGGCAAATGCAGTAATTTTTTATTTCTTGGACACTTTTTTGTTTAACTGACTCAGGAAGGAGTGTTACTTGCTTAGCCAATCTCCAAGGTTATCACCTCCTCTTTCTGCTGCCCCTTAGCACTCCACCCCCTGCAAAACAAAACCAAACTAAACCAGCCAGAAAGGACTCTGAGCTGACAGCTCTGGGGCAGTGGCATCTGGACCCTGACCCTAGAATTGGCATTGCCTGCACACCTAGTGACACCAGCAAAATCCAGGGAAAGCACAGGTCCTGCCTGTCTAGGAGGTTGGAACTTTCTGCCTCTCTTTCACCTGCTTGGGAGCAGAATTGATCCCCTTCCCTCTGACCCATCCCAGAGGCTGGGTGAAGAGGAAGCATGAGATAAGGTGGACGGGTTTCGGAGTTCACCTTATTTGGAGGGGGAGATGAGAAAAGAGAGGCGTCTTTAACTGCCAGAGCCCAGCATGAGGCGGCTGACAGAAGCTGAAGATGCTAGATTGACTTCTGGAATCCAGAGCCCTGTCTCCAACTTCACCAAAGTACAGATGGGGCGGGCAGAAGAGGTGGGAAGAAGCGCCGCCGCAGGGAAGCCAAGGGGGCTTCACCTACCGCCCCCAGCTGCCTCTCCTGCCTTATTCAAAGTGGTGGAGAAGGCTTCCTCAGACCTGAGGTTGGGGCAGTGCTCTACCTACTTCACGGGAGGACGACCCACTCCGTAGGGGAAACTCCAAAACACGGCATCTTACTGCCCAAGCCCACTTTCCAGTTCTGGATCAGGAAACTGGATACTCCCTGCCTCACCTTTGGGGAAAGGGAAGGGATCACGCCCGGGGCAGGGCCTCGGCCCAGCCGGCAGCCCCGGGCTCTATGTAGTCATGCCAGTAGTAATTAATAATGATAATAAATACCACACTTCATAACCAGGCCCAACCTGAGGATGACTGAATGATTGGACTCTGCCTCCCACCTGCACGCCGTTAGCCTGCGAGTCCACACCCTCCGCATTGGCCTCAGTTCCAGCGGCCGCGTTCGAACTGGGGTTCCCAAGAAGGGCCGCTCCCGCTGACCAGGACGTGGAGCAGCACGGCCCCTCGGCAAGACCGCGGGGAGCGGGGGCGGGGCGGGAGCGGTGGGTCGGCTTTGTCGTACTAGTCGTCGCAGAAAATAATCCAAATGGGATGGTGATTTAGGCCCCACTGTTTCGTTTTTCTGAGCAGTGCAGGGGGGCTGCATCGGGCGCCCAGCTCCGGCCTGGAGCTGCCCGGCTCCCCGCACCCCGGGCCTGGCGCTCCCAGGCCGGGCAGCCTGGCGACTGCCACTTCCCCGGTGCCGCGGCCCCAGGTCCCGCCGGGCCCTCCGAGGTGGGGGCCGCGGAAGTGGCCGTCTCGGGGGTCAGGGCGCAGCCAGGCCGCGGGGAGGCGGCCGGCGCCGGGGAGGAATGTCTTTATCGGGATTCCGCAGCCACAAGTTTCTCCTTCGCTTCTTTAAGCGACCACGGAAAGACACCTTTCGATCTTTTGTCAGACATCTTGGCCCTTAACAGCTAAATTTATTTGGTTTAAAGCGGCCTTGTGAGAAGCAGGGAGGGAAGATCTTTCGTCGGTCATTGGGTGGCCCAGATAACGAGCTTTAAAGGAGAGAGGGGAGAAGAAAGTAGAAAGGTTAATGGACGCGGGGAGGGCCAGGAGGCGCCCAGCGCGCGGCTTGCACAGCGACCCTCCCCCGGCCGCCGCCTTATCGCGGCCCCGACTCACCCGCAGCCCGTGAAGCGCATTAAGTCACGTAAACAGCGCGCGGGGAGGAATGCCGCCGCGGGGACCCCTCGTGCGCGGGCGGCCGCCGACGGCGCGGGGCCGGGGGGCTGCGGGGCGGCGGGCCCGGCCTCCATCCCGCGCGCCCGGCGGGCCGGCGTCGGCGCTGCCCCAAAGGACCGGCGGCGGGGGAGGGGCGGGGAGCTGGCGCGGGGGGCTGGGGCGACCTCCGGGCTGCGCCGTTTTCGCGCTTCCGCCGCCACCACCTGATGTTTCTAAGGAGTATTTGTGAGTTTTCGAGAGTTAAAAAACAAAACAACAAAAAGCGCACCGTCAAGACTCTGAGCGATGGTCTGCGTCGGATTGGGGTGGGGGGGGGGGAGGGGGGGCCACGCCGCCCCGACCCCGGACGCGGGCGGGGATGCGGGGCGCCGAGGTGACCCCGTGTCCTTTGGCAAAAGCGTCCCCGGGACAGGAAGAAATATAGTATGAGAGAGAAGGCCCCATAAATCTGGTTTTTAAAAAACTCAAGTGAAAACTATGTTTTAAATCAGAAATTGTATTTTTTTCTTTCTGAAACGTTGCTGGAGCAGCCAGGAACTTTGTGAAATGACAACCTCACGAGCTGATGTTTGCCGGGGTGCAGGCGGGCCCTAGCCGGGGTGTCGCGGCTCCGTCGAAAGCAGGGCACTCCTGGGTCCCCAAATATCCTTTCCCGTTTGGCAGCAAAACCCCCGCCCCCTGCCCGCTTGGCTGGTGTGTTCCGGGCTGGATTCAAATCGCGAATAGTGAAGTGGTGCGACCCAAATAAATCAGCCCTGGGGACAGGCCGCGCCCCGGAGCCAGTTCCTGTCGGAGGGTGAGGAGGGCGGCTCGGGGAGGGACAGCTCGCTCCGGAGGGACCACTCTTTGGGTCTAAATAGTCCGGAGAGAAACGATTTCGTTCTAGATTAGCAAATCCCAAAAGAGACAGACAGGAGAAAAAGAAAAGGAAAAAAAACAAAGGAAAAAGAAAACCCATAAGGAAAACAGAACACCCTCTGAGAGCCTGTCTGTCTACCTGGAGCACTATGGGGGCCTTGGGTTTCCCCCTAGTTTGGGGTGCACTTCTTCTTCCGCACCCCTATTCTCCCCGCCTTCCGGGACCAGCTGGGGCGCTTTAGAGGAAGCTCAGAGCGCCCGAGCTAGGGGGCCGGGAGAGGGGGCTTCGAAGATGTGCCTCTCCCTCAGGGTGTTGTCCCCAGGGCCAAAGCCAGATGTGTTGGGAAAACTGCAAACTGGATCAGACTATCTGGCTTTCGGTCTGAATAACTCCAGGGGTTAACCAGTTTTGTTTATTTTTAAGTTAACTGACAAGAAAAAACATTTAACTATCCATTCTCTCCTTTGGTTGGAAAACCAGTTTAAAAAAAACAAAAAAACAATTTGTGATCCTGCACAGGAGCAGTTACCTTTTCCCCTCCTTTTTGTTTCAGCCCATATTAAAAAGAGATTGGGAATCTAGAGGGTAAACTGCCCCAGCCCCGAGAGCCCGCACGTTGCGGAGTCGGTGAGCGTCGGTCCCGCCGCTCCTCGGTCCCAGCCGGGCCGGGGCCAGCGCGCCCTCTCCCCGCTGCTGCGGAGCTGCGGGAAAAGCAGGTCCCTGGGGCTTAGCTATCGTCCAGGGAAATTCACACGGACGTCCCGGTCCTTGCAAATATAAAGACACACACACAACAGGAATTAGGTTCACGCCAGGGCTCCGTCTCCTCGGGCTGTTCACAGGCTGGATTCGAACTTAGCCAAAGGATTTGTTAACTCGTCTGCATTAGAAATCGCCTCACTGGAGATGTGAATTTTAAAAAGAAAACTTTGCTTTTAAGAACAAACCTGAGAAACACTTTAAAACAGTTGGACTCGGAGGAAATCAAATGCCCACATTTCTGGAACTGCTTACAAATGAGCTTCTGCAAAACTCAGTCTACTTAAAAATTTGGTCGGAACTCACGTAAAAATCAAAAGAAAGGCATTCGAAAGTCTGGTCGGAGGCAAGTGGACGGCGGACGCAGGGCTCTCTCTTCTGTAGTCGCATTCGATCGAACTCAGGTTAAATTTTAAAGCCCCCGGGATTCTGCTCCGGTCGCCAGTCCCCGTTCCAGAGTTTTCTACCTTCAGTCTTTCGGAACTGCGGCCACATGGAAACTGGGAGCCGCCGCAGCGATTGGGGGAGGCACAGAGGAATGTAATAAAAGTGACTAAATGGGATGAGAACGGTTTATGGACCTTCTCAGTAGCCATTTAAAATTCAGAAGTGTTTGGTAGCAATTCACAACGAAGAATGAAAAAAAGAAAAAGAATTATCGCCAACTTGCTCGATTCGGTGCCCTCCTGCCCCGCGCTGCCAGGCCCTGTCCCCTTCTCCCCCAGGACACAGGTCACAGCTCACAGCTAGACTGAGAGGACGTTCACGACGGGGGCTCTCCGTCTCTCCACACCACATTTTACGGTGCCCCTGCCTACCCCGTTCAACTCTGCTTAGGCTCCTCTGGCCTCCCCAACTGGAAAAACACAAAAATTAAAAAAAAAAAACCAAAAAAAAAAAAAACCAAACAGCCCAAACGCTTTCACGGAGACTGACCTTTAGAAAATCATTTACTTCTATTTATCTGAGAAAAAAAAAAGCGTAAAAATCCATTCCCACCAAACAACCCCTCCTGCCCCAGTTAGAATTCTCTCTCGGCAGCCTTCTGGGGTCACGTCTGTCGGAAGAAATTCTCTCCGTGAGCGAAAGGGAAGGAGACGTACATCACGGCTCCCGCTGCGGACGAACTTGCGGCCGCTCGACTCGCCGCTGACAGATCGGCGCCGATAACCCCGCGACGTTCACTTCCAGTCCCTCTGCCCGCTAAGGACCGTGTCAGTTTGTACACAGTTGTGATAACCATTTGGAGGCAGCGAAGAAGGGGTGTGTATGTGAGGGTGAGGGTGAGGGTGGGGGTGGGGAAGCCGTATTTCGCGCTGGGTCCAGGCAAGGTGACCCCCTTCTTTCCACGGACTTATCTGAGACTTACCTGAAGCTCCCCAGGGAAAGCTCAGAGCAAACGGGACCCCAAAACTCGGGGAGCATCTCTGGGCGCGACTGGCGGGGCAGCCCTTTTTCATTCTGCGCACCTCCTGAACTAACCTTTCCGTACGCCGCGACCCCGAATTGAAAGTTCCCACAGGTTGGCTGGCTGGGGAGTGCCGACGCGAACTTCCCGAAACTTGCCAGGCATTTAGGATACTTCTAAAAGGCAGGGCAGAGAGAGGGAGCTGCGCACGCGAGTTCCTTCTTTCCTGTATCATGGGAGACTCGACCCCCGACGGCCACCACAACCTGAGCCCCAGGGTCTCGAGAGGGCGTCGGGGAAAGTTTAAGGTCGGTCACACACAATTGCAGAACAAAAAGCTCATTTAATGTGGAGGGAGGCACGGGGAAGGCCGGCGGAGCAAAGCACTTTCCCCCTCATTCTGGGGGCGCGTTGACCCCGGAGCTGGCGCGTCCCTCCCGCCGCCGTGGCTGCGCCTAGCAGTGCACAGCCAACTCCTCCCGTGTCACTCCCCCCCCCCCCCCCCCCGTGAATGCGTAACTGGAGGCGGAGGAAGGTGCTCCGTCGCAGGATGGGTGTGGGTCGCCAGCCAGGTCAGGCGTTCTGCCACCTTCGCCCCTCCCCCAGCGTCCCCGGGCTCGGCGCCCCCTCGATGGACCTGCCCCCGCTCCCAGTACAGTGCTCGCGGGTCAGCCCACACCCGCAGGCTGCACGGCGCTCATTGTCTGCTGTGGCTGCGCGCTCCCCTCCCCCCACCGCCTGCCGTCCCCTCCCCACCCTCTTTTCTCTCCTCCCCTCGCTCCCTCCTCCTCCTCCTCCTCCTCTTCACCTCCAGCGCCCAGCTGCTCGCAGAGCGCAGTTCCGACCCACAGCCTGGCACCCTTCGGCGAGCGCTGTTTGTTTAGGGCTTGGTGAGTCCAATCAGGAGCGCAGGCTGCAGTTTTCCGGCAGAGCAGTAAGAGGCGCCTCCTCTCTCCTTTTTATTCACCAGCAGCGCCGCGCAGACCCCGGACTCGCGCTCGCCTGCCGGCGCCCTCCGCCGCTCTCCGCGCTCGGAAGCACCCTCCGCCGCGGCCGTTCTCCATGCGCAGCGCCCACCCGAGGTTCGGCTGCTTCCTCTTGCTCATGCTTCCCTCTCTCCTCCCCTCTACCCCCCCACCCGTCGCGGGCCCCTTGGCTTCGGGCTCTTCGGCCCTCTGCGGGCCGCGGTCGGCTCCGAGGGTGTCTCCCTTCTCCATTCCCGGCAGGCTCTAGCGGCTCCCTGTTCCCAGGACACCGCGAACCAACTTCTGGTGTCTTTTCCTCTCACCGAAGCGCTTATCTGTGTGCAGCCTTATCTCCGAGTTATCTCGGCGCAAAGGGGCGGGAGCCGGCAGTCAGGCGGGCAAAGAGACTTCTTTCCTGCTATCTATCCTGGGTCTGTGTGTGGGCATTAATTTTAGTGTGGTTATCTCCGATGAGCCGAAGCGATTTGGAAAAGCAGCCCAGAGGAGGCCAGTTCGGCTGCATTTCGCCTCCCTCCCCCGACCCCTCCGAGGCTCCCTGTCATTCCTCCTGCTCTCCCCTTTGGGGTGGCCTCACGTCCCCCCTTGCATTTCCCCCTCCTTTTCTCTGCGCTCCGCTCCACCCCGCTACGTCCGATTCCGGAACGGTCTGGCCTTTCCGTGGCTGGGGATGACCGCGGGGTGGGCAGGGGTGGCCCGGCCGGTGTGAGCGCACGCGCTGGTGGCTGTAGACGCAAGCCGCGTCTAAGGTGTGCCAGGGCCGCGGGGCCGCGGGTTGGGCGTGACTCTGGCCCCGCGGGCACCCCTCTCTGTGCCCGGAAGGTCCGACACTGTCGTCCCGCCCCGGCGCCCCACCTTCCTTGGACTGAGTTGCATTTCTCTGGGGCTCGCGTTCCGTCTCGTCAGCGCAGTCCGGGAAGCTCTGGGAGAGCCAGTATGGGAACGCGGCGGTTTCGTTTTCGGGGACAGGTTGCCTTCCTTGCGCTAATGATTTTCACTCGGGCAACCGTCACACTGAAGCATTCCGGGCGAGGGACACCCACAGGAAGGCGGGATACGGCAGCGCCGACACGCACAGCCACTTAAAAAGTTCTTTTGTGTGCCATCGGCCACGAGGGAGGCGATGGGGCAGAAGGGAAACCTCGGCCAGCCTCGTAATCACCCTTCGGATCTGGCGCGCGCGCGGATGAAGGATGCTGCGGAGTGGGTGGGCGGGGAGGGCGAGGGGACCCAAGCGGTGCGGGTGAGGGAGGGCGGGTATCCTGGTCCTTGCAGGACCCTGTGGCGACTGCGCAGGCTCCATTCCCTTCCCATCTCCTTCCCCAACCCCCGCGCCCAGGGCAGAAAAGGGATCTTTGAGGAGTCTCTTTAGCTAGAAGAGGGAGTGGAAGCGAGATGCACATCCTGCGCTTTTGGTAACTCCTTTTTATTTCTCCTGCCGTTTCTTTATCCCCCCCGTAACCCCCTCCGTCTCAGGAGCTAGAAGTCAGCTTGGAGTGGTGCCGGACCGTGGATGGCCTTGACTGACGGCGGCTGGTGCCTGCCGAAGCGCTTCGGGGCCGCGGCTGCGGACGCCAGCGACTCCGGAGCCTTTCCAGCGCGGGAGCTCTCCACGCCGCCTTCCCCCATCTCCTCCTCTTCCTCCTCCTGCTGCTCCCGGGGTGGGGAGCGCGGCCCCGGCGGCGCCGGCAACTGCAGGACGCCGCAGCTCGACACGGAGGCGGCGGCGGGACCCCCGGCGCGCTCGCTGCTGCTCAGCCCCTACGCCTCGCATCCCTTCGGGGCTCCCCACGGACCTTCGGCGCCCGGGGTCGCTGGCCCCGGGAGCGCCCTGTCGAGCTGGGAGGACCTGCTGCTCTTCACTGACCTCGACCAGGCCGCGACGGCCAGCAAGCTTCTGTGGTCCAGCCGCGGCGCCAAGCTGAGCCCCTTCGCACCCGAACAGCCCGAGGAGATGTACCAGACCCTCGCCGCCCTCTCCAGCCAGGGGCCGGCCGCTTACGACGGCGCGCCCGGCGGCTTCGTGCACTCGGCGGCCGCGGCGGCGGCGGCAGCGGCGGCGGCCAGCTCCCCGGTCTACGTGCCCACCACCCGCGTGGGCTCCATGCTGCCCGGCCTGCCGTACCTGCAGGGGGCGGGCAACGGGCCCGCCAACCACGCGGGCGGCGCGGGCGCGCACCCCGGCTGGCCCCAAGCCTCGGCCGACAGCCCCCCTTACGGCAGCGGAGGCGGCGCGGCGGGCGGTGGGGCCGCGGGGCCGGGCAGCGCCGGCTCGGCCGCGGCGCACGTCTCTGCGCGCTTCCCCTACTCGCCCAGCCCGCCCATGGCCAACGGCGCGGCGCGGGAGCCGGGCGGCTACGCGGCGGCAGGCGGCGGGGGCGTGGGCGGCGTGGGCGGCGGCGGCGGCAGCCTGGCGGCCATGGGCGGCCGCGAGCACCAGTACGGCTCGCTGTCGGCTGCGCGGCCGCTGAACGGCACGTACCACCATCATCACCACCACCACCCGAGCCCCTACTCGCCCTACGTGGGGGCGCCGCTGACGCCCGCCTGGCCCGCCGGACCCTTCGAGACGCCGGTGCTGCACAGCCTGCAGAGCCGCGCGGGAGCCCCGCTCCCCGTGCCGCGGGGCCCCAGCGCAGGTAAGGGCGCGCCGCGCGGGCGGGGGCCGAGGGCCGGGGCGCCGGCGGCCGTGCGGCGGCCCCTGGACAGGGTCCTGCGTTCCGGGCTTTCCTGCCTGGGTGCCCAGAGGCGGCGTGGCCCCAGGCAGGATTTGCGGACCCGTGGCGGGGCAGCCCGGAGTCTGGCAGTGTGGATGGGGCGCTTCTATTTTGCGGACTGTCTCAGGTCTTTCCCACCGAAGAGGCTAAACACGCATATCTACCTCGGCGCGGTGGAGAAGCTCGAGGGACTTAATAGACAGTGAATGAGGTGGGCAGTTGGGAAAAATGAGCCCGGGAGCGGAGCGACAGGGCCGGAGCCCGGTCCCAGACCCTAGTTCGCGCGAAAGGAGCAGAGAGACTCCATGGGGGGTGAGTTTAGGAGAGTGCTGGGCACTGGATTCGCCTTCTCCTCAGATCGCACACAGCCTCACCCCGTTTAACTCTCCAGAGGTGAGCAGTTGTGTGCGTTTTCCCCAAGGAGCGTATTAAAAGAGCTCCACAGTGGAAGAGGACCTAAGGACCCCGTTGGCATCCGTCCCCTCCCGCGCGTGAGGGGGGAAGAGAGAGGACACCTGGGCTGGTGGTCAGCCTTGTGGCGGTCCCAGGGGAAGCTGGCGGAGGGGCCCTCTGCGTGGCACTAGCTGGGCCCGGGGTCTGGGGCTGCTCCTGCATTCCCTGCCAGGCTGGCACCCCGGGATCCTGGAGCTCCCACATCTATTCTTCCTGGAGTTCAGTCCACCAATTTTTCCGTTTCCAATTCCACACATACTTTCATGTCTGTGTCTGGGGTACACTGGGGCAACACAATTGCCAAAATACCTGGAAACACCCCATTTTGAAAAGCGTTTTGTTCTGCTCAGGTAGGGAGGGAGTGACTGTGTTGTCTGGCCTGACAAAGGCGCTCAGGCTTCTTTTCTCAGCCGCAGCATCCGGCGCCCTTCTCTATGCTTTCACAGGTCTCTCCTTATATCTAACATGTTTGATAACCTGTCTTCTAAGATAAAACTTTCTTGTGTGGCTGTTTGAGAGAAACTGTGGGAGTCACAGAGGTGGCAAAGACGAAGGAGGCACATGGGCCTGAAGTATCCAACCTGGGCTTTTCCTGGAGCCTCAGCCCTCCATTTAGGGACAGCAAGTCTTTTAGGAGCCCTGATTAGTTAGGACAAAGCCCTGATTAGTTAGGCATTGCCAACTGTGTGTTCAAAAGACATACTGGACACACTAGTGGCCTGAAAGTGAGAGATCTGATTTGCCCAGCCCTCCTGGTAACACTGTGAGGGAGCGCAGGCTTTCTGATGACAAGCCCTTCCTTTCTTCCTCCACTGGCCCTAAGATTTGGCTCTCAAAATTCCCTCTTCTCTCCCCTGCAAAGCTGCCTCTGGAGTCGTCTTCACTGTCTGTAGAGTGGAGGTGGGGGCCTGTTGAGGTTTGCCCTCGGGAGTAGAGACTTGAGACAGCACAACACTGTCACTCTTCCTGCCACAGGAGCCGGGAGCCGGGAAGATGAGGACTATTCAAAGGTGGGAAGGAGCTGGTGGTTAGGGGTGGGGCTTTTGTCCGTCAGGAATCCAGCCGGGATCCGAAAGGGCATGTGAGTTGGGTCAGGGCAGCTGCAGTTGGAGCAAGATCCTGCAACTCTGCCTGACCGAGACGCACCCTAGCGGGATCTCTGTATTCCTTCCCCCGTCTCCCAGCCTTTCAGGAACTGAGAAAAAGCAGTAGTCTGAAAGCCATAATTGGAGTCTTTGGATGTTTAAAGTAACTGGTCTGCATGGAAAATCCTTTTAGAGGCAGTAGGGTGCAACTGTAGGCGAGTTATAAGTTTCATTTTAAACTTAGCCTGTCCTTTCACTCATTTCCTCACCTTCTGGGTAGGACGCTGCAAAGGTAAAAAAAATCTTCTGTAGACCCAGAGTATGTTTTAAAAAATACCAAAAACCAAAAATGGGAAGGGGTTTGGGAACACCCAGCGTTTGCATAAAGAGTCTTAAAAAGGCAGGAAGCTGCTGAGAAAAAGCCAGTGTGGGGGTGGGGGAGGCGAATGACCCTAACTTTGCTTGTCCTCACAGGTGTTCTCATGCTAGAGAGACCTCGACCCCCAACCCCTCTCCTCCTAGCCTTCTAACTGGACTCCCTAGTTCTCCACTTTGATTTTTTTTTTTTAAACAAACCGTTTTTGGAGGCACTCTTTAATTGATCTGAGCAAACAGGAGGGCTAAAACCTGAGCACGGAGCTTTCTCAACCTGCACACTGTGGAGACCTCTCCTGATGCTGGTGGTGGAGATTCCTGGGGCGAGCTTAGGGTCCTCACAGCCCTTCGGTCCCCTCCTAAGCTTCTGCTGAACTGGAGGAGCTTCCATTTTCGGGGCCCTGGGACGACAGACGACGGTGCCTCTCTCCCCTGAGTCTGTCACTCTCCAGGGGCACCCAAGGCAGCCAGGTTAGGAGAGGGATAATGAGTAGGGGAAACTGATGGGTGAGTTTGTAATTTTTGTAATCAGCTTTTGTAATTTTTACTGAAAAACTGTTTTTAAATTTTAGTCAGCTATAGAAGTGTAGCTGCTGAGTGAGGGGTGGGAGAGAATGGGGGCTATAGATTTTATTTAATTAAAAATAAGCAAATTTCCTAAATTTTATTTATCCCAAGAGTTTAAGTTTTGTCTTCGGGTTTTCAGATGACTGGGAGATTTACCTGGAGAGTTCCCACTGTCTTCTCCCGGGAGTCTTTATTGTCCCAGCCTGGGAAGAGGCGGCCTGCGGAGGGCTGGTTCTCCAGGGAATGCCTGGCTCCTCTATGGAGAAGGGGCTCTGATAGGTAACATTTTAAAGTCAACAACAAAGACAAATACCTTGTTTAACTTCAGTGTCCTTGAAGTCCTGAGCATTTTACTGATTACCGTAGTCAATAGTGGCTTTTAGGGCGGAGAAGAATAAATCTTTGTGATGTGTTGTAAGTTGCAGTGTCCCCATGACAACTTTGAACTCAGTTGTGTAGGATGCTAGTTTCTTTTCAAGTTATTTCTTGAGGAGGAAGGAGACTTGTTTTGTAGGGCAAATTGTATTAATGGAATTAAAAGAGTGTTTATGCCAAAGACACATTTAAGTATCTTTCCAACAAACAGTTGATGGTAGAAACAAGCTGCAAAGTGCTCGGGCATCAGAAGGAGTCGAAAGGGTTGCTATTAGCTCACATAATCTCCAAATTAAACTCTAAAGTGTAATGTTTGTTTACTTTAAGCATTGATTCAGAAATGCTCCTTAAAGAAAGCCAAATTAGAACATTTAAACTCGCTATAATATAAATGCGGCTAAACAGAAGGAGATATTTATTTTTTTAAAGTGCTTATTAATAAGTATCTCATTTTAGATAATATTTATTCATTCATATTTAACCGATTTAAGGGAAAGTGAAAGAGTTGTTGCAACCATTGACTCTTAAGATTTTCTTTTTTTCATTGACAGGTTTAGGTTGTGAACTCCGAAAACTAACCGAATAGCAAAATGACGAAACACAATTTAGATAGTGTAAGTTGAAATTTTAGACCAGGAAAATAGGAAATAGCTTTATTTGGCACGAGGACTATCTCAGTAATTTTCTGAGTCAATAAAGTACCAGCCATTTGTAGAAATTTTGCAAATAGAAGCCATTAGACCCACTTTGAAATCGGAATATTTTAGTGTTTGGTCCTTGTGGTGTGAAAATCACACCTAACATTTATCTCGATGCTTATTAGTGTTAGTGCTTCCCCCCCCCCCAGGAGACCTGAGTCACTTTCTAATTAATTGACAAAAGTGCCCAAGAACAGTACTTCTAATTTCATTTGTCTATTTTTTATTGAGGAGAAGAAGGATGACAGATGTAGCAAGTACTTTTAAATATTACTTGAGATAAAAGTGAATAAGGCGGCGTCACTGCGTCCGGGGATGTTTGTGGGGTGGAGCGGGGTCAGTGATCAGTGCTAATAGTGTATGGTCTGCTCCGCTTTGGCAAGTGGCATATTGTAATTATGATGGATTTCAGTTTCGAAAAGCTTGGGGACAGCCGGAAAGAAGGGGTCAGAGGACCCAAACCGACCTCCTCACAGCTCATCCCAACTCTGAGGTCCTTGGAGACACAAGGCAGATGATTCGGCTCGGCTTCCAGCCCTGTCTCCGACTTTCCTGGGGATTTTACTGGGCGCGCCCAGGGGTGCAGAAGTGTCGGACAAATGGTCAGCAGATCAATAGCGACGACATCCACAGCCGGCTGCTGGCGTGGCTGCTGGGCTGAAAGTTCGGTGGGGAAGGGCGCGGGCTGGGGAGCGGGCGGCGCGTCGCCAGCCCAGGGACCAGGGAGGCTGGGGTCTTGGGGGGGGGGAGGGGGCTGCGGGGAGGGGCGGGCGCGGCGCGGCCTCACCGGCCTCTCGTCCCCGCTGTCGCCGCAGACCTGCTGGAGGACCTGCCCGAGAGTCGTGAGTGCGTGAACTGCGGCTCCATCCAGACGCCGCTGTGGCGGCGGGACGGCACCGGCCACTACTTGTGCAACGCCTGCGGCCTCTACAGCAAGATGAACGGCCTGAGCCGGCCCCTCATCAAGCCGCAGAAGCGCGTGGTGAGTGCGGGCGCCGCCCCCCCTGCGGCCCGGCCCCGAGCCGCGCTCCTCCCGCCGGCCGGCGCTCCCCGCGGGGACAGGTGCGCGCGGCGCGGCCCGGGGCTGACCCGAGCGCGGCGACCGAGCTGTGCCCTTCACTCCCCGGCCGTTTCAGCGCTCGCGCGCTGGCGCCCGAGCGAGGTTATCCCGACACCACCTTCAGGGGAACGAAGACAGCCTTTCCCCACGTTTACACGTAGGGAATGATGTCCTTACGTGAAAGGGAGGGAAGAAGGAAGGCGTAGGGTGCTACCATTTTTTTAAGTACAAAAATCTGTATTTACATACGTCTAGATGTACTTGTAAACGCACTGAAATAATTCAGGCAGGAGACATAAGAAATTAGTAATAATGGTAACCTATAGGGAGAAAACCCGAGTATACGGACCCAGGTCAGGGAAGGAAGATATTTTCACTGTGTACTCTTTGGTCTGGTTTGGATTTTATTCTTGAAAAACCATGCTCCTTTATAACATTCTCCCCCAAATAGGATATGACAACAATAAACCCACATCCCCTTTCTCCCCAGAGCACAGCCTCATTCTGGGCTACTTTGATTCAGTCCCTCTGGGTCCCTTCTAACCTCTTTAGCATGGGACAGGTTTTACCTCCAAATTCCATCCATCTTTTGGACTGCCCTTGAGTCTGGTGAAAATTTATTTACTCTAACCTTTGTTATTTTGAAATCTGGCTGTTCAGAGAACTGCATAGAACTTGAGAAAAAATGCAGCCTGTATGTTCTTCTCCAGTTGAGGATTTTTGCCAATCGAAACATGTGTTACTATGTTTCAAAGTATGGGAATTCTGATTTTCTTCAGGGCTTAATCTCTTATTGTCATTGTTATGTGTGTTTTTTAGAAGGAGAGAGTATTTACTGCTGTAATGATTAGAGAAAATAAAGCTTTCACAAGCCCCACTGTAAGGCTGACATTTGTTTAGCTGAGCACTCACGCTCTAGTACCTTTTAAAGTAGAATATTTTACAGTTAGATGCTAGACATCTTAAGTATCCCAGTAATTTATTTAATTGTTATACTCTAATTAGCAGGAACAAATGCTACACATGTTGTTTGTGTTAAATAGATTAGAGTGAAATTGCATCACAATGTAAGTCTGACACCTTAAAGAGAAGCAATTAGTTTTATGGTTGTTTTGTTTTTAATGCATTTAAAATAAAGTGGCCAAGGTTAATTTAATGAGTGTATGTGCCTTAAACTTGTTACAACCTCCCACAGCTTAAAATTTTCTTCAAAGGGCATCCTTAACTTTAGTGCCTGACTCCCTATGGTTTTCATTTTTCTTACATGCATCACATTAAAAAAGAAACAGCAGTGGCTAGAAAATATTCCAGGCAAGTTCCTTGCTTTCGTGTATTAGTCAATGTATGAGCAATGATGCTGATTATTATTTTGTTTGGAAAGGCACGTTGAGCTGAGACCTAGCTGAGCTCTCGGAAAGGTAACATTTTCTTGGGATCGAGTGAAAAACTGGTAGAATAGTAACCATTTAGGTTCTAGTTGCATTATAAATTTGCTCTAGTGACATCCATATTTAGCTAGTGCCATTTGTTTTATGTGCTTACCAGTAAAAATAACTGTTACCAGAAGAAAACAGTTTTTACCATCTCTGAATCTGTTTTCCTTCTGTGTGGCAGGTGTCTTGGCAGCGGCCAAGGTCAGCCAATATGCTTTGTAAATGGGTTATAAATGATACCAATTGAAGGGTGGGTCTATCAATTAGTTCTCCTTGTGGGCTTCTTATTTATAGTTTCGATGGATCCAGCTTAGTTCTCAGAAATAGAATGTTGAACCCCAAGTTTGTTTAGCCAGCAGTACAGAACCAATCACTGTGAATTTGAACTTGTAATACATTGCAAAATAAGAGATTTATGGTGTAACTTGAATTCCTTGTCAGCAATGAATATAACTGAGATCACTTGTTACAAGGAACTTTTATAACCTGTTCACCTTCATTTCACATGTTTATGGGGACTGGCTTCACTTATGATCTGCAGTTGACAGTCATAAAGTTCTTTGTTAATAATGGCAGATTCTGATAAGAAGTTTGCTTCACATTGGCTCCAAATTCCACTGGAAACTGTCATAAATGAGCTGTTTATAAAATGAACCTTCCTGTCCCCAGTTTACTTATTTTATATTTATGATGAGAAAGGAGTGCTCTCCCAGGAAATTATTTTCTTTGAGCCATAAAGAAAAAGAAAGAAAAGAAACCCTGATATGTAACGTTTTATGTTTTCATCATTTTAGCAAAGCAGTTGCTCAAATAATTCTCCTGTCAGCCAAGCATATGCATTTTAACCAAAAGTCTAATTGATTCTTTATCAGCACTGACTTCTTAAAAGTTGTTGTAGTGCTAAGAGGCTTACCAGGCTTTCTTGGTTTTTATAATTTGTCTGGAAAGAATAATGCTAAATTAATATAATGAGATGTGAATTGTAAATGCAAAATTCAATTTTATATTTTAAATTTACCAGCAAAGGATTTGTAAATCTCTGTCCTTTAATCTGTGAATATTCAATACATGCTCAATTTATATTTTTGTTGTCCATTCTGTACAACAATTTTTCTTAAATTAAACTTAAACTTCCCTTAGTTCTGTAACATTCAACTTGCTTTGGTCCCTGGACTTTCCCCATAGATTTTTTTACTGAAGTCATTGCATTGTTTTTAGTTGTCCATCTAGGTAATTTAAAAACAAATGTAGATTTTCTGGAGAGGAACTTATACTAGTTTAAATTGTCATTCTTTATAATTCACACATAATAATTTGGAGGAAATAAATTCCGTTAAAGGATGTTAACGGATGGGCATAAAGGGGACATGGAAATCTGAGTGACAGTGGCAGACAGTTGGCCTTTTCTGATAATACCATTTAACCCTTTATAGGACAAAAGTTGAGTACCGTACTGACAGGGTAAATAAAATATATCAGTATCACTGTATGTAAGACAATGCCAGTGTTAAAGCAATGCCGTGAAATTTGCTTATCGTTCGTAAAATGAATAATACAAAGATTCAGGCAGCAGGCAATCATGATGATAATTATAGAATGTATTAAAATATATTTCTTTCCAAAAGTTTGATACATTTTCCAAAATCCATTTCTATTAATATATATATATAAGCCCTTCTAAAGTTTCTGGTTTGTTTCTCTGCACATATCTGAGAAGTAGACCTGATTATCTCCAGTTTTCAGGTGAATCAGAGACTGCCCAAAGCCACTTAACATGTTTGTAGGCTGTTTGTGATTGCATTTCATGACTGTTAATACCTGAGACCTCTGGCAGCAGTCAGTTAGTTATTGGCCAGCATTGTGACTGCTTCCCGGTTATTCTATAATCTACACTAACGTGCTGGAGCAAACCAAATGTATGTATGGGATCCAGCACACGCTGTAAAACTCAAGTTGCTTGGTCTAGGAAGGTCAACCCAATTACACTTGACATTTTTTTATCAAGGGGCCTCTTACTTATAATAACCAGGTACATGCTTGTTGATGACAGGGACACAATACATTGATGTATGTGTGTGAAATATACATAGAAATCACTTATTCTGTATACTTACTTTCTTGTGCTGCTTTCTAGCCTTCCTCCCGGCGGCTTGGATTGTCCTGTGCCAACTGTCACACCACAACCACCACTTTGTGGCGCAGAAACGCTGAGGGCGAGCCTGTGTGCAATGCTTGTGGACTCTACATGAAACTCCATGGGGTGCGCCACATGTTCTGCTCATGTGTCTACACATTTAATATCTTGTTTGTACGTGGTTTTAGTTAAGAAAAAAGTCAGCAAAGGAGAGGGGATGAAAGTGAAAAATCTGATTTTCTAAATGCACATTATTGAATCTAGATTGTTATTAATTAAAATATAAATTATCTTACATACCAGTAAGAAACAAAAAATGCTGCCAATTAAACTGTCACACACAACCACTGTAAGACATTCCAATTTTAGACATACTAAAATGTGACAAATTTGCATTTTAGAATTGATAAAATGGTAGGGACCCCCTTTTTAAAAAAAAAAAACTGCACACTCAGAGAGAAAAATAGCGTAGAACCAACTAGAAATGCACAATAACTAGTTTATATCTTAATTTTTTGGATACAATCAAATACATTTATACAAAGGAGTAATAATATATTTGATAGTTGTAGTTAGAAAGATTCTATATTTTAAGGGTACCACAAAATATTATAAACATCCATAAATATAGATGTATAAGTATATATTATTGTATATAATAAGATTATAAAAATCTTAAAAAGGAAAATAACCTTGTATATGTAGGAGGAAGAGAATACATGATCTCTTTGAAGTAAAAATATGTATTCATTGGTTTTACTCTATTATAATCGAAGTTGTTTAAAACAATAAACGTTCAGTTGAATAAATTCTCCCTGGCAAATCGCCCCGTTTTCTCTGAAGGAATCTGTGCATTTGATGGGGAAAGCGTAGTCTCTGTGCAGTTGCAATCTACTGAGTGTGTATAAAAATCAGATTGAAATTTATGCCAAGTTCTTTTAAATGAGGGCTTTCAGTACTGATGTTGGTTCAAGTTTGTTTTTTCTTCAGTATAATATTTATTAAACTTATGGCATGGCCTATGTGAACATTTTTTTTAGGTGCCTCGACCGCTTGCTATGAAAAAAGAGGGAATTCAAACCAGGAAACGAAAACCTAAGAACATAAATAAGTCAAAGGCTTGCTCTGGTAAATATAATAAAATGCTATTTGATTGTAAAGTATGCCAACCTTAAGAGCAGAGTATATGTATATTTATGAGGTTAATTTTGACTATTGCAGGTAATAGCAATAATTCTGTTCCTATGACTCCAACTTCCACCTCTTCTAACTCAGATGATTGCAGCAAAAATACTTCCCCCACAACACAACCAACAGCCTCAGGGGTAAGTGTGAAAACAGTAGACACTCTTTCTAAACTAGTCGGTTAATCTCTAGTATACTATCTCAAATTTTATCTTATCTGCTAGTACAATAATCTAAACCAACAGCTCAGTTTAGTTAGCTGATACCTAAGAATAGTTTTTAGAGGAAATTACATTTCAATGTCAATAAAATGACAAACTTAAGTACTTTACAAACCTCTTAATTAAGATCTATATCATTTTTTTATGGTTAAATTAACCCAAGTAAAAGCAAGAAGTTTTGCTTTGGAGTACTTCAAATTGTTTTATTTCCAGGTTTTTATCTGAGTTGCTATATATTTGTATTTCTGATGTAGATCAGAAAAACTACCAGCTCCGTGGTTTCGTGTGTCCCACTGCCCGTGACATTTAAATGGCTTTTGCTTATCATATGAACTCCTGCTTTCTTTTTTCTCTCCTCTGCTCTTCTGTTCTTCCTTCCTTCCTTTTATTTTAACTATCAACCCCCAGCAAAGCTCATCATAATGTCCTGTGCTGCTGTATTTGCTGATCTTCCTTCTTCCAGCTGTCCTCTTGCTAGGGCGCCTTGCCTTCTTCGAATGCACGCCAGTTGTGCCCAGGCTTATTTCAGCCTTTCAACAAACCTGTGAGCAGTTCGGTTTGTGAGCGACTTATGCCTCTGTGCACTGGGATGCCAGGGTCTTCGTGAAGATCCCAGAGTTAGTGTCTGCAAAGCTGTGATTGAAACTCAGTTTTTCTCAAGTGAAGAGCATTTTCCCATCCTAATGCTTCCCAGATTTACCTAGAATGCTCTTTAAAAGTGACCAGGTCTCACCCTTGACCTCAGTGAGATTCAGGGCGGGGCCTGAGCAGCAAGACTGTACCCGCGTGCTCCCTGGGCATTCTTAGGATTACAGTGAGACGAGTTTGGGACGGGACACCAGCATTAAAATCCCAATTTACTTAGTAATTGTTTTCAACATTTAGTTTTGCCCTCTTTGGGGTACTTTGAAATACTGCAGATTCCTGGGCCCCACCCTGGATTCTCTGAGTCGGAGTCTCTGGGGGTGGGGCTTGGGAATTCCTGTTTCTGAACAAGCGCCTCAGGTGGAGTTGAAGCTGCCGCCCCGAGGTGTCTTCCTTCCAGGGTTTGGCAACCACAGAGGGGGTTTGATCCCGTAGTATTTGTACTGGCTTAAACGAACAAAAATTCAATATTTTAAAACAGTTTTAAACTGTGCTTAAAATTATATTTGCTGTTTCTTTTTGTCTTCTGACATTCTTTTGGGCTTTTTCTTTAATGCAGTAAGAAGTTTGTTCAGAGTTTCACAAGGCAAAAAGCCTTTCAGTTGTTTCTGTTTGTTGCAGACGCGTTAAAGAATGTTGCTAGACCTTATAAAGGTGGGCTCTGGTGTACGATGTTTTTTACAGGGGGCTTAGACGTATCTTTAAGGATCTAAAGTGGTAAATAGAACAGTTCCTTGTGGGGAAATGGAAAGGTCAAAATTATTTAGGAATATTCTTTATGATGCCCTGAGTCCTCAGAAGTGATTATGTCGCTAAGTGAGGCAAAGCAGTGTTCTGGTTCCCAGAGCACTGAGGGAGCAGCCAGGTTTTTGGCCTCAGTGTCTGTCTCTCTGGCTGAAGTGAGGATGGCTGCCAGCTCCAAGTCAGTTTTGTTGGTGATACAGTCCAGCTTAAGCATGGCAAAAGCCAAATGTGAATGATAAATGGCGCAGAAATAGAGATGTCAGCCCGACAATGGGCTTCGGGGACTCGGAACCTTCGTGGGTGGAGTTCGTTTTGCTCTCGTGGTTTTGTGATGTAAAATCTCAAAATTGGCTGTTTGCAAGTCCCACCAGTTGCCCTCCAGGGGAGGGACAGTGAGGAGGCAGCGACGGGGTCTTGCCTCGGCCTGTCTGGGAGAGGGACCTCGGGAGTTCTGCAGCTTGTCCGACCGCTGCTCTGGTGTCCCGGCACCTCTCACCTGGGACCCAGCACGCTTTAGGTGGCTCACTGGCTAGTGCCCTTCGGAGGAGTGCTCACTTCCCTCCTAGCGGCCAGGAGGCAAAGCAACAAGGAGTTTAGAGATTGGAGGATAGTTTGAGAACAGTTCCACACGAGCCCCCATCACTCCCGTAGCCCACGCAGCCTCCGCGAGAACCAGCTCTGAGCTCCAGAAAAATCGGGCTGCTCTTGGGGCCCAGGCCGTCTCAGGAATGCTTCCCGACAGCTTTTCCCGGTGTGCTGTGTGTGCAGGGGGATCGCCCGCCCTCCTGGCTCCGCAGGCACTCGGCACTGGGTTTGAGGGTTTCCTCCCCATGGCGAATCCATCACAGATTCTCCATCAGCCCCTGGCTGACGTGGCTGTTGTGGGGAGCCAGGCCTACTTGATAGAGCCTGTCTGCTGGCTGCCTTTGGAAACTGTCCGCCTCCAAGAATCACTGTAGTAGACTCCAGTGGTTTTCCCGGGTTAGTACCAAGGAGTGCCCTGTGTGTGCCTGTTAGTTCCTTAGCACTTTACAGAGCCTTCTCTGCGTGCACTGAGTCTTGTGCACGTGGCCAGCATGGCAGCTGAGGAGCTGTGAAGAACATGCTGGAGGAGTTATCTGTGAGCAGCTGGCAGAAGCATTTGTGAAAGGCGGCTGTGTTGACAAAGATGTGTCATTTTCCCATTTTGGTCACAGTTTACGATGTTGGAGGGCAGCTGGTGCTGTGACTGACTGCTTATGGGATTTCGTGGAGTGCTGTAGGTGAGGAAAACGTCTCCACAGAGTGAGGTTGTCTCTGGCACGTAGTACACAGCATCTTCGTTGGCTCGGCGTTTAAAACCTCCGATGATGAGTCTGTCCCATTGATCTCCGGTGGCCCCTGTGACTGACGTGGTGGAAATTAGTAGTGCAGAGTTATCCTAGTTAAATAAGGAACAACGGAGCTACCAAACAAAGGGCAATCTTAGGCGTTCTCCCAGTGGAGGACAGGAACTGGGGCCCACATGTTCTTCCATTTAGAGATGTAAGTGGCAACATAACTGCTCATCCTCCTTTCCTTAATGATCCTGAGTTACAGCAGGGAAGTCTAAGACTGCTGCAGAGGTCCACGTCAAACTTACTGTTCGTTTTAATCCTCTCCTGAGAACTCAGCTGTAGGAGAACGCCAGTAGACATTTCCAGCAGCTTCTTTTAAGTCCTGATATTCCTGCCCTGCCTGTGGGCATGGTCACGTGGTGGCAGCCAGCGTGGCAGGAGCTGAGTGTCCTGGAGGGAGGCACTCCTAGTTGTCTGCTGCTGTGAGTGGGTCTCAAGGTCTCAGTGCCCAGCAGGAAGGAAGGTGCACACAGGATTCTTAGCACACGTTCTTCTGCATTCTTTTAGAACAAGTGTCTGAGTGTCACAAAAATCATTTTTGCACTGCCCTGAAACCTTGTTTCTTTGACTTATTTGCATGTCTTAACTTTATGTACTTGTTGCTAGTTTGTGTTTTGACTAGACGTCTGTCTGGAAAAAAGGAGACGTTCCTTCTGGTGGTCATCAGGTTGCTGACCCAGCTACCTTATGACTCGGTTTCTCTTTGTTGTGAGCTGTGCATATGTGTGGTGTGTATGTGTTGGATGTAGAGGGAGGGCAGTTTGTTTCCTGTATGAGGTCGGGAAGACCTGAAGCCATGCAGCCTGGTATTACATTAACGCCTGTCTTCTTCCTTTGGAATTCTTTGTGTTTGTTAAGAAATGGGTTGAACTTAATTTCTGATAGGCAATTGATTAATTTTTGTGACTTTTAAACTTCAAGATAAATTTCCTAAATATATTCTTTCATTCTGTCTGAAATTTTCTTATACACACATGTAGATTTACTGAAAAATCTGGGTTTAGTTGACCTAAATAGATCAGATTTTCTTTGGCATTTATATTCTCTGTGGGTTGTAAAAATACTTAAATCTTTCATTGAATTCCATTTACTGACTGTTTTATAAGTTTGTTGTTGTTATTGTTACTTAGGAGGGAAATACGATAATATATTCTATTTCAGCAATTCCCAAATAAGATTTAAGTAGTCTATAAATGGTCCTATCCTTCCTATGACTTGTAACTAAGAATTTGTGAAATTAGACGGTTCTTTATATATATATGTGTATATATATTACATAGTATGTATACAATATATATAAACTTTATAGCTCAGTTGCCAACTTTTGTAGATAAAAGGTATTTTCCTAAATTTCTTTTGGGACACGAAGGATTAATTTGGGGATGAGATTAGCAGTAAGATAATGTCTGAGAATAGGAAGTCACTTGAACATATTTTGCCTGCCTAAAAATAATTCCATAAATAATTATTTAGGGAGTGGCCCCGTGGCCGAGTGGTTAAGTTCGTGCGCTTTCCTTTGGTGGCCAGGGTTTCACCATTTCAAATCCTGGGTGCGGACATGGTACCGCCCGTTCCGCCACGCTGAGGCGGCGTCCCACATGCCACAACTGGAAGGACGCACAACTAAAAATACACAGCTATGTACCAGGGGGCTTTGGGGAGAAAAAGAAAAAATAGTTATTTAAAAAAATTAAAATCTACTTAAGTTTACATTAAACCTGCAAAGATAATGTTGAAATCATCATTAAATGTACAGCCTTGAAATGGAGATGACTTGGGTCTGATGGCCCTTGCTCTGTGGTCGTTGCTCCATTTAAGAAGCATTGTGCTATGAGAGGCCCTGTTTACAACTGAGTAAAGTAAGGTCCCCGACCCCAAATTGTTCATAAAGTGGTGGTAGTGGTGGGGGGCAGGTATAGACAGATCTTAGTGCTGGTCAGATCTGGAAGTGCTTTAAATGAGTGACAAAGTACGTTAGGCATTGGAAGGAGGGAGCAGTGAATTCTGACTGCAAAGTTGGAAATGGATTCAGAGAGGAGAGGAAACTTGAATTAGTTGTGTGGGAGTTTTGCAGAGGGAAAGTTGGGACAGAGGTGTCTGGGAAGAGGAGCATGGGTGTCTACAGTGCTTCAGGGACATGGTTTTAGGAGTTCC